AATGAAGTTACCAAATTACAATCTAAAACAGAAGATATTCTGCGGTCAGACGAGTTCAACTCCGAACAGATAAACGTAAACAAGACTGAGATTCAAATGTTGAGGGACGAAATGGCTGAACTACGTAAAGACACAGAAGTGAAATAATTGACACAAGTACTTTATTTCCGAAATAGCAATTTACTGATCTATGGTATACAAGATGAATTAGACCCAGAAACATTGTGCAGAAAATTTTTCACTGACCTGGGCCTGCAACGTGCACAGAAATTAACTTTGTCAACATCCATAGACTACCATGCCAGAGTGCAAATCCCTATACAGCTCAATCACAAAACCCCATCAGGATCAAATTTGTCAATATGAAGGACAGGCAATTAATTGTGGATGCAAGTTTCTGAAAAAACGCTGTCCTGCATGAGAGACATGTCTCAATCTGCACGGACCTCCCTGTACCATTTAAAAAACTCTGTGGTATAGGCGAGTAAGGCCTGCGAGCTTCGAAAAAACACCAAGTCCAGACACAGATTCAGGAAAAAGGGCTAGATATCACCCTCCAGCACAGGAAGAATGCAGACCGACCGTGGCTACATATCAGTCTCAACGAGGATATTAACAACTCTCAGCTGTAGTAAACAATGATGGCTTCACCAATCCTGAGTGCTTGGCTTTTAGATAGTGTATAATGCAAAGTACAGCGCCACTACGTCTTAAATGTATCCATACAGTGCAACATGGATGATGTGTGGTGAAGTCTGCATCTATTGTGACTTTGAGCAGTTTATGAAAGAACGGCGTTCAGTGACACTCGTATCACCACTTTGATTTGAAGTTTGTTTACATTGATATTTATAGAATCACGTGAGTGTCATGTGACAAATTTTTTTCATAAATTCCCACTTTATCAAGAACCTAGCGCACATGAAACTTACATGTGCATGTTCGCCAGATTTTGTATCTCTCTTGAATCTTAACAGTGACTGAAAAAGGTGTATGTCAGGCAGAGTCAATGTTATTGAATTTTGACGTATAGCGCTATAATTATGTGTGACATATACTGGTACTACAGATCACGTGATTTGTACACTCCGCAAGGAACGGTGGGGCATAATGCTGGCAAGTGAGTAGCGGTATCTTACTACCTGTATTGGTGTTTTGTCAAATAGATTTTGATAATTGTTCGACTGAAGATAATATCTGAGAACTACGTATGATTTATGATGCCATTAGAAACATATTCTTGTGTTGACGTGTTATTCTCTCACATCACCATGTTCACACGTGAGTTACTTCCCTTCCTCGGCCTAGTTTGAATGTTGATGGCTATGTTAACACACCCAATTCTGGCCATGGCAATATTGTTTGATTTATAATACCAATGATGGATAGAGCTTGTGGAAACGCTACCCTTTCTATTTTGTTTTTTTTATCATTGTATGTTTTCATACAATCTCACAAAGTTTAAAAACATTCAATTCAGTAGGTGATGAACCAGTGTATGATATAAATAACCACCTTGACAACAATATGAATCTGTTTTGTTTGGAAAACACTGAATACGGATGACAAAATAAGAATAGTATCAGCAAATTGCAGGGGCCCGCAGATAAAAGGAAACGTAAAGAAGTAATGAACCTATGGCGAAAGAAGAAATTTTCTATAATATGTCTACAAGACATTCATATTTCTAAAGAAGATGAAACATTAATGAGAAACGAATGGGGACTTCAAAGTATAATAGCGCCTTACAAGTCAAATGCAAGAGGAGTTGCCATTTTGTTTTGTAATACCTTAGAAATAAAAATCCATAGATTTAAACAAGATGTTAATGGAAACTATATAATAGCAGATATCACAAAAGAGGGCATAAGGTTAACTCTGACTAATACATCTTTACTGTTTAACAATGAATATATCCAAATAGTGAAAGATACACTAGAAGAAACAAAGTTAGAATATTCAAGCAGTAAATATTCCAAAGATGAAGCAAGAAAAACTAAAGATCTAAACTTAAAATTAGAAATCAGTGATACTCTTTTTTTAGAAACATTTTTGATGAAAGTGAGAGGCAAATCAATATCTTTTTCCACTTATTTAAAGAAAACCAAAAATGAAGAAAGTAGAAACTTAGAGGAAAAAATAAAGCAAATAGAAGAGGAAATTAGGTGAAATTTTCAGAATATAAGTGAATCAAAGCTGTCAGACTTGTCTAAATATAAAGTACTTTTTGAAAAATTAAAAGAAGAAGAATCAAGGGGAATACAAATAAGAAACAGAATCCAGTGGTACGAGGAAGGAGAAAAACCATCACAATATTTTTGTCATCTTGAAAACAGGAACTATACCAGTAAACTAATTAACAGTATTATAACTGAAAAAGGGGAGTTAATAACCGATGGACAATCCATCTTAACTGAACAAAAAATTTTTATGAGAAACTATACTCCTCAAGTGGAGAAATAACTAATAAATCCAAAAATGTATTACACAAACTTAACACACTAAAACTTAGTAAATCACAGTTTGATTATTTAGAAGACATGACTAACATGAAAGAAATAACAAAGGCCGAAAAATCTATGAAAAATAACAAAAGCCCAGGTATTGATGGATTCCCTGTAGAGTTTTTCAAATTTTTCTGGAAAAATCGTGGAATATGGGTATACAGATATATTACAGAAACAGTTAGAAATAACACTTTAAGTCTAACAATGAATAGAGGTGTCATTACCTGTATACCCAAAGACACTAAAGATAAACAAATACTCAAAAACTGGCGACCAATTTCTCTCTTAAATTCACTGTATTAAATTTTAATCTTTGACAATATGCTGATGATACTGAAATATTTCTAGATGGGACTGACGAAAGTTTAAGTACAGCGATTGACACCCTAAATGATTTTTATAAAATGTCAGGATTAAAAATTAATATTGATAAAACTAAAGCAATATGGATAGGCTCAATGACAGGCAGTGACATGAAATTATGTCAGGTTCTGAAACTAGACTGGCACAGTGGGGACTTTGAAATATTGGGAATAAAGCTTAACTCAAACTTAAATAATCTATGGGTAAACAATACAAAGAAGAGAATTGAAATTATTAACCAAATTTTTGGGAATTGGAGGAAAAGAAATTTAACATATTTATAGGTCTCTGTAATGAAGATGATATGATATGATGAGATGAAGATGATATGATGCCCTTTAGTGAACTTAAAAGAAAATACCAAATTAAAGGCACAATTATTGACTATTACCAAGTTCTATTAAACATACCAAAATCCTGGAAGATACTATTAGAAATAATCACATTATCTTATATAATCAACATTTAAATACAACTTTGATGGACTTACTTTTAGCGCCTAGAGGCTCCAGATATTTTTATGATAAGACTATAACTACAGCAAATCTCCCAACAGTCTGTGAAAAATGGGATACCATTCTCGACTTAGATATATCATGGAAGGATGGTTTTATCAGATACAGAAAATGTACAAAAGATGTAAAATTACTTGATTTTCAATATAAATTTATTTATTGCATCATCTATACAAAGAAAGAATTGTTTAAAATGAAAATTCTCGATGATGATCTGTGCTCCTTTTGTGAAACTGATACTGAATCCTTACTTCATGTATATTGGGATTGTAAGCATGTTAAAGAGTTTGGGGCTAAAGTAGAATGTTTTCTAAATGCAAAATGTTCAAAACAATTTACATTTACAAAATGCTCTGTTTTACTTGGGTACAACTCTAACATTCTGTTAAATCACATTATACTGGCATGCAAAAAATATATACATGTATCAAGTATTAAGAAAAACAAATTGTCACTTGAAAAGTTTCTGAAGACTTGAATTGATATAATTCGGATAGAGAAATCAATTGCACACAAAAACAATACAATAAGACAGTTTGACAGAAAATGGAAAGATTTGGCAAATAAATTGTCTAGTTAATATGTCTCTATTTTTTTTCTATTTTTAAAAAAAAAATTTTAACATAAACAATTTCAACTCATGTGCTGTAAGGATTTAGCTTCACACTTAGTTAATAAACATGGCAAATATAGCCTGCCCATTTCACCATTTGTAAACATTGTTGTACACCTGTAGCCAACTTAAACTTGCTGACTTGCTGTCTGCTGTATAGGTATGTAACCTATACCTAATAAGTATACCACAAGACATGCTACTCAATGTATAACTCTGTAATGTCATATACTGAATTGAATAAAAAAATATTTAAAAAGAAAAGAAAAAAGTGAGGTATGGCGTGTGGTCTCAAGACTTGATCAATGTACCGAGCTGCTGTGACACCAATGCCTCTCCCTGGACTGATGTTCTGGAAGACCACAGGGCCAACCCTCTGTGCAAGATCAATTTGACCCCACACCATGATGCTCGGACCACCCCACGAGTCTCTCTCAACAACACAAGCATCCGAATAACGTTCCCCGCAGCGTAGCCAGACTCTCTCTCTGCCATCTGCTGTTGAGATCCAGCTTGCAATCGTCCAAGGGCTTGGTGTCACTGATTTTTTGTCAATCTTGGCATGTGGTAGCAATTCAATAACGAATGAATGTTATCCAATCTGGGTGGATTTTTATAGGGCAAGAAATGGGGGAACACATGTGCATTTCAATTTGCATTTCAAACTCACGTGCATCGGGTTACTATGGCCGTTGATGCGTTTGGGCGATCAGTTTTATTGTCATCTGCTTTGTTTTTTTATCATCAAATTTCATTTTTCCGGACAAGGTAATGTTAAATTTTAGAAACTTTGACAAAAATTACCCAGATATTTAAATGACAACTTTTCATGCAATATTACTTGGGATGACATTTCTTTTGCTGTTTAGTATATGTACGTCTGCACTTCAGTTCAATTCTGAGCTCGGTAAACATCATTTCCTCTGAACTGTTAGAATGTCTGACTCATGCATGTTTCAATCATCAGAGTAATCTCATGCATTTTATCTTATTTTTTGCCAGGCAAAACGGGAGAATGTATGACAATAGCACACAGAATAACCCTACTGGCAAGGTTATACAGAGAAATCAACATTCTACTAGACATTGGACAATCTGGAGCATTTGAGATCGCTGCCATCTCTGTAGGCCTTGCAGAAAGGCAAGACAAAACACAGTATCGGTAAGTTCTTGTAGGCAAGACAAAACACAGTATCGGTAAGTTCTTGTAGGCAAGACAAAACACAGTATCAGTAAGTTCTTGTAGGCAAAATAAAGATTTCCCACTTTCAACTTTCAGAACTGTGGGATAGATTGTGCTGAAACTTCTTGCTTATTCCAGGCCAAAATATATTCTTTCAGAAAGGAATCCACTCATGAACTAGAAGGCCCAGTTCAAATAGACTATTGGAGAGATGCTAAACTTTCTTTCTTTTATGACATCTTCATAAGAAAACCTAAGACTTTGTGTCCATCTCAGTAAAAACACTTGACAATGGCTACACTGTTCTTTTGAGATAATGATTTAACTCAACTGAAACGTTTGCTGGATACTAGACAGTGGGGCTTAATCACATCCCAAACGAAAAACAAAAGTTTAAATGGTAAATAACAACTAGATGCAACTCAACAAGTCGTTCGCCTCAGTAAGTGATCTTACACAGGAATATCTTCATGGAGAAGATGAATCTTGTGCTAGTAGGAAGATTGAGGTTCACCTCTGTATAGCCTAATTGACACTAAAAGGAAGGTCGAAATATAGATATAACTGGTTCTCAGGTGATGACTGGGTTCTTGTGTGAGTTGATGCATCATATTGCCTGAGAACTAATAACACTCTTACTTTTATGTGCTTCCATTTATATTCAAGAAAACTTGAACACTTTAAGCTTGATGTCCCAAAGTTCAAATAAACTTTGTGTGATCTGTTATTTGAATATTATCTCTCCATCAGCCAGTATTGAATATTGTTGATGTCAGAATTCCAGTTTTGAAATGAATACCAACTTTCAATTTTCAGATTAAGAAATGAGAGAAATCGCTACATCAGTTTTGCAAGCCATGTGTGGAATACTGGCAGCGATAAATCTTCGAGGCCAAGTCAGAAACAGCCATATATGTCCAGAACATCAAGTCTCACTCAACAGCAGGTACACCCAAACTATTGCACTCACCATGCAGTTTATAAAGTTAAGGCATAATTGATCTATTGAAATTTCACAAATCTTCACATATTAAGCTCCCAATGTAGTTTGTCTTCACCTCTGGTGAATTACTGGACTAATAGTATTGAGGGTCATTGATATTTTGCATTAGCTTATATTGATATAATTATATTGTGACATAATACTTGTTTTGGCAGTAATTGACATATATTTGGAAGTTAAGGTATTTTGGTATAATTCTTGTGCAATTGATGTATATGGAGGTGAGATATGAGGAAGTCATGTTCTTGAGCAGTGACAGCCCCAGAGACAGTAGTGTTGTTAGTTATTTGCTTAACAGTAATGAATGAGCCTCTTGTGCGGTATTTTTTGGGATCATCAAACTTGAGGTTTGTCACCATTTGAGCATTACAGGCAGACTAGGGGATTGGTACAGGCTGTAATGAGGACACTGAGAACAGGTCATCCAAACATCTGTTCAATGTCAGATCAGCTTACCGGGTACTTGCTAAATGAAATGGACTCTCATCACCTTTAACCTCCTGGTTACAAATTCTTGAACTTGAATATTTTCTTAATGTAAATTTTTAAACTTATCCTTTCTCTGAGGTTTGACGAACATCATTGGATTTAACCCGCAGAATCAGCTTACTTCCGAACCTCGTCAAACCTCAGAGGTTCAACTGAGGCAACTGAACCAAACCTCAGAGGTAACACATCGAAGGTTAGGCGGACCTCTATGGATCGACACACTTTGGAGGAGGTTTGATGAGACTCGAAGGTTCGTCGAAACCTCCAAGGATCGGGGATATTCAAAAGAGCGATACTCTCCTAAGGCTCGACAAAACCTGTACATGACAGATGATCAAGGAATCGTTCGCCAACTCATCATGTTTCATGTAGTGACTATTCAGATTCTTCATGCTTAGTTTCAGAGAATGAATGCTTCAATGAATCTCTTGGACATTCATCTTATTTGACTTGTTCCTCTTAACTCTCCTCATCCGGACTTTTGGCTATGAGATCATCCCCACTCCTATGATTTTCACCAACGACAGGATTATCCTTAAAACCCCACTTCATACAACACTTATGCACAAGATTGGGAAAGTTACCCACCTCATGTGCACTCTTTCCTCCATGGCATGGAATCTGCCTTTCCAGACTACTGAAACCTATCGATCGAGTCATTTTTCCTTCTCTCACCATGATGTTTCTCCCCAAAAACATTGGGATAAACCACACCCATCGGCTACTGTTAGTAGATGTCCTTCACCTAAAGATAGTCATCATTCTACTTCACCTACTCATTGTTCATCCACCCCAAATTTGACACCTGCTGTGACTGAACCCCACGTTCCAACAACATCACAAGCTCTGCCTCTCAAGGTATCCCTACATCATGGATTCCTGGTGATCTCTCCGCCATCCCAGCACAACAAATTTGCTCTTTGTTGCAAGCGGTAACAGTGGCATACCTTCCTCAGTCAACAACTGCTGGATCACTATCTCCCCCCCCCTCCCCCCCTCCCCCCTCCCCTCCCCCCCCCCTGCCCCCGGGTTTGTCCTCAGGGAGTTTCGACATAGCCGATCTGGTTACCATTCTCATCTGGATGGCGGATAATCAGCAACTTTGGAAAAGTGCTTCAACTGAGGACACCCTATCTTCCTTTGTCCCATCAGTTTCTTCGCCTAATATCATGCTTCCTCCTACAGGACATAGACAAAGCCTTCGCTTCTTTTCGATGGCTATGTGATCAGCTTCAGTCTCCATGCTTTGTTTTGGCTGATGAAGGTACACATGGCTCAGCAATGGTTGCTCCTGAGCTGGAAGGTGACATTGCAACCTTAACTCCTAAGCGTCCCTTCTCCTGCTCTTCAGTGGACGATGGGGATTTCGTACTACTCGACACTACAATTCGGAGGACACTTACTTTGATTTCACCATTCTATGGTCCACAGAAGCTCTCTCGTTGGATGAGGTTCATGCCTCTTCCCGATAAGAATCATGCATCCAGGGTGCTGTGACCCTTACTCAAGATAAAACGGCAGCTGTCTCAGATCTTCTTGCTCACTACCCAGGATCAAGCACCACTCTTCACAGACGTGGTGTTTTGCAACGTTGCTGTTTGGGATGACTAATTTAAGAACAGGTTTTATCAGTTACCATGGTCTGTCTTTTCGTGTGACACATCCAGGAGGTTGCACATGAAGTCCAGAGGGAAACCTCTCTTCAAGTCACGGTTGACTTACTCCGTTTTCCTTCCACAGAACCGACACTTTCTTTGGTTCCTGTTCCTCAGCCAACTCTACCAATTGCAAGTGCTCCTGTGTGGAATTTCTTTGGACCTGTGGCTGTTAACTCACCTCACAAAACCCATCATCTACACATTCGAGGCATCGCGTTTAATCTTGCATCGATGACTGCATTCAAGTCAACGAGGATTCAAACATTCTTCTTTGACACCTTGATTTCATACGTCTACTTCACCAACTAGGTTGAATCATTAACACCAGAAAGTCTGAAACGATTCCAACAAAACGTCTCAGCTTATTGGAGCCCTCTTTGACACAAATACGGGCAAGATGTTCTTACCCCAGTATTGTTAGGGAAAAATTCAACGCCTCGTTCCATTGGCACTCAAACAGCCACTTCCCTTACACCAATGGCAACAACATCTCGGCCTCCTCACATCAGCACGGGCTCTCACCAGGAGAGGTCAACTTCACCTACATCCAAGCCAGTGCTTCCTCAAACCATAACTTTCAGGATGATGATTGTCAGGTTCTCATCAGTCTCCTGAGCCACCTACATCCACATCTCCAATGGTAACTACTTCCATCGAATGTTTGTGAAGGAGTCTCCTTGTGGCCATTCACCCCGACCCTTCACCTCTTCATCAACGCCTCAATCGTGGGTTGGGGAACATCATTGTCAAGAACTACAAGTGACAGGCTGGTGGTCTCTCAAGAAAGCAAGTTTCACATCAACCACTTAGAATTCAAAGCAGTGATTTTGGCAGTTTCTCATTGGTCGCTGATGATCCAGTCGGACAACCTACAGGTCATGTGGTACATAAACAAGATGGAATCCACCAAGTCGACATCACTACTGTCTCTAGTGTTTGACATTTTTCAACTGATCGACTCACTCAACATTCAAGTTTGGGCAAAACATACTCCCGGCATCTCCCACGTCATTGCCCTCTCCCTGTCCTGATCCGACAAACCATCTCCCTCAGAATGGTGACCACATCCAAGGATATTCCAGTGGATTTGCCAGTTATTTCCGTGCCCCGATGTCATCCTCTTCAAATCAACTGCCTGGTCAACCTGATGTCCATCCTTAACCCTGACTATCACGAAGACATATCTTTGTGTCCGGTATGTGCACTTCGGATCTATCTTGAAGCAGCTAAAGCGCTTTGAGGATTACGGAAGAGACTATTCATCCCACTCTCCATGGCAGCCACTACAGAAGTATCTCATACTAACATCTTGTTTTGGATACGCTCAGTCTTTCTTCGAACTTACACCTTCGCTGGTCTATCAGCCCGGACAAGTCCCACGCTGTCACCTCCACTCTGGCTCTTCACAGTAACTGTTCCTTGACTGCAATTATGGAGGGATGCTTCTGGAAATCAGATATGGTCTTCGCATCCCATTACCTCTGAGATATCTCTGTGATGGACTTCCAAGCCTTTCACCAGTTCGGACCCTTGGTTCTCGCACAACAAGTCTCAAAGACACATCTGCACAGATAGCGATGTATAATCAGTTCCCATTCCACCACCTTGTCATGACTGTTTGTGTTTATTGTACACATTCAGGCTTCCCAGACTGTAGGGACTTTGGTCCTCAGCTATGAAGTTGCCATTAGATGTGGCTGAACCCGGTGATCCCTTATCCCACGCTTTGGGTATGTGTGCCTGTTAGCGGAATGATGATCCTTTTGTGGATGTTGTCCATCATTTCTGCTTCTTGTCTTAATCCAGCGTTTCAATCACTGACAAGCGTGATTAAAGGTTCGACAAAACATTAAAAGAGATACCAAGCAGGCCAATCCTATCATCTTTAGGAGATAGTGATACCCCCTTCTTGTAAATTCAACTAACAGAGATTTATTGAGATAGGATAAATTTAAAACTTTGAAAATTTTGTAATAAATTGATATTTATATACTTATCCTATCTCATATTATATGCCCACCCGTCCATCCCCACATCACCATTCCTTAGTCTATACACTCTTGAAAGAGAAAGAGTTGACTGGTATAGACACGTGAACTGTGCAAGTAGGTCAACCAGCATGCAAAGCATGCATGACCACGATCTGGGAGGTGACCATGGTTATGTGAGGTCTGTACGGTTGAATTAACTTTAGAAGCTGGAAACCTTTATTTCAGACATGGTTCCACTTGGGATCGAAAGAAGAAAGAGAATTGCATAGTGTGAGGTTGGATAAGTATACAAATATACAATTTATTATAAAAGTTTAAAATTTGTGTCTCTTACACCAAAATTATATGATCATTGGTTTGAATCCCAGTTCGCCCCCTTTATGTTTCAATGTTTGTCAGCACCATACCCATACTCCTAGTAAACATCTAAGACTTGAATCACTTTGGGCTTTACTCCCAGATTAGGCTGACATAACTGGAATAATTTGCAAAGCATCGTTAAACCCAAATAACTCACTCATTAACCCATGTGTATATGTCTTTGATGTTCAACATAGGGATATAAAAATTATAGGAGTTGACTTTCACTTTGTGTGAGTTCATCGAGTATGAACCTTCATAGAGTGAGGGCCAAACATTGTATGAAGCTTTGATGTTCCCATGTCCATACAGTTTGGTTCTCATTCTATGAAGGTTCTATGAGAATCTAGAACAACCAAGCAAGCCAAAGAAAGTGTATATACTCGATATGGAGTAGTTTGTCTGTCTACTATGCTTTGGATTGATGTTGTATATTGTGTGTTTATCTGGGGCTAGGGATATTGTTTTTTCTATATATCTACCAACACAGCTACTAGGTTTCTTCTTCTAGAGTTTGCGCAATATAGGCTAGACAATCTTTTTTTCTGTCTGGTTTTCTTATTGTTCTACCAAGCCGGCAGATGAGTGGTCCATGAAGTTAGATGTCCCCCATAGCTTTCTCCAGGAAGAATCCATATACCGGTGTCTCTACACCATCTTCGGAAACAAGATATAGATATGTGCGTGGATTGCCACGATACTTTGTTCTAGCATACCGATAGCAAGTATATTCTCCTGCTTCTAGATCTAGTGCTTTTCTCCTGGTTTTTGGTACTGGAGCCACTTGTAGCCCATTTTTCTGTAATAGATCCTCGTATTCCTGGTGTATTTGCCGCAATTCTGAAAGTAGTTCTTGATTTGGAGCTGCAACGACTCATATTGGGTTCCAATGGATAGTCTTGTCTTCCACTACGAAGGATTTGGTTGGCTCTATCTTGATTTGGAGGGGCTCTATTTCTGGCAGCCAGAAAGTCTTTCTACCATGTTTGTCCTCGTCCTTTTCAAATATTCGGCCCATACTAGTAAGAATACGTCATAGCTCTTTTGTTGCTCAGAAGCTTTCTTCTCGAAGAACAACTTGGGCGCTATCTCCTCTTTCTCTATAGCCAAGTACGGAATACACCCCTGGTTCCAATTCCGAAACTTTCTTTGTTCCAGAACCTAAAATCGTAGACCCGTTTTTTACCACCCATGCTTTTTTCTTTGTAGTCCGAATCGATTTTCTCAATTCGTCTATTCTTTTCTCTCATAGTTGTCTTTGCTTTTCTAGTTCTCCTCCTACAGCACGATGCCACAGATTGGTTTCCTCTTCGGTTTCCTCTATTTCTCCTTGTCTTAGGGGTATTTCCTTTGGACGAGAAGGAGAAGGAGGAATAGGAGGAGAACTTGTTGGCAGCCCGAGTTGTAATGCATTTTTCTCTGTCCTGTCTACAAGACCAAGCGCTTCTTCAACTACTTTGCTATACAGAAGCGGGTCCTTGCCTTCCTTTCCTTGTACATTGGTAGGTATGCAATTCCTTGGAGGAAAGACGAGCCTTGTTTTTCTATCATCCTTTGTATCCGAGATTGGTGAGTGGCAGACTTTGTATAGGATGCAATAGAATGGTGCATGGGATAGCCGCAAGTTCTCTATTCCACCCATATCTCGAACGGCTTCTTGCATCTGGTATCCGTAGACTGGCACCGTTTCTCCACCCACATGTAGGAGTAGGAGTACTCTGTTCGTCTTTCGTCCATTGCACTCTAGCGCTGCCAAGGCAAACTTCGTGTACACGTATTTCCCGGCTGACAATGTTGATGCTTTCCTATGTTTGGAAATGGGTGGTGCTGGTAATAGTTCTAGATCTGTCGGACCGCTGTGGTTTGGTATTTGTAGGATGGGTGGATTCTCCCTTGGTGGATCGGGAAGATTGGAGAAGGCGGCTTCACCAGCTAGTCTTCGGAAGGTGCAGTCGTTTTTCCCACATCAGCACTGATCTGCTAGAGTTTTGGTAAGTATCGAGAATCGGATACACCACCCAGCACACTAGTTGTCGTACAGATTTTCTATATTCACTATACAACCAGGGATCGCTATCTGGTCTGGGACCATGAGGGACAGCCGCTTTTTGGGTGGGGGTAGGGTGGTGAATCTGTTTGTCCATAGTGGGCATTTCTTGCTATCGACGCTGTGGTCTCTGGTGCCGCATTTGCAAGTGGAAGTAGGATCCTCGAAGATGCTTGGTGGAAATGGTGGTGTAGGACAAGTGGTGAGACAGTCCCCGCTTTGGTTGTGTTGATTTCTTTCCCTTTCTCTAGAGGAAATGATACGAAGTTTGCCGAGGCTTCAATGCTTGTTGTACAAGCAAACAAAGTCTAGTATCTTGCCAGCCTCGATTGTAGGATGGAAGACACATAGGTATATCTCGAGAAACTGCCTCTGGATTTGGTACCGCTCGTAGAAAGTATACCCCAAAGACTCCAAGATTTGTTTCTCTCTATCGGATAGGAATAGAAAAGGGTATGTTTTTTCGAGACAATCGTAGGCCTCCAATTGTTCTACTTGTTTCATTTCTTGCTGTTGGGAATTTGTTCCCTCTTGGTTTCCACGAATTCGCATATATCTAGCTTGTGATATGTGGTACTTCTGTTTTGCTGCTCGAACAGATAAAGTGCCTGAGCGAATTTCAGTGTATGCTTCTCTTGGTAGGGCTGCTCTTGGCATTTTTATATATCATATGTACCTCAAATGTTTAATTCGTCTTTTTTTCTTTTCCTATACTTTGATACAATCCTGTTTCGGCAGCTCTCGTTTTTCACCACAATTAATACTCAGTTTAATGTCATGTCGATCGTAGAATAACATAATCATTTTAATGGAAGTGAGAAAAAAAAAACCTCCTGTAGAAGTAGTATTGGGGTATAAATCTGGCCCAACCATGGGTGTACCGGTCTCAGGGTTCCAGGAGAACTATCTATACTACTCCTCACTTCCCCCTGCAGTGGAGTCTGTTGAAGTGTTGACAGGCTGGTCACATGACCATGCTGGTTCATCTTCCCTGACTGACAGTAAAAGACCAATTTCCACCCTTGCTGAACGATGCAGGAATTTCATGGCTAGATTGTAGCGCCACCAGTGGCTATAACGAGTTATGTCCCTTCTATGTCCTCCCTCCTGTGTCCCTCCTATTGACCAACCAGATTCCATACCTATGTCACTTGCATTTGCTTCAAACAATATGGTGGCTTCTATTTCAACCAGATATGTTCTTTTACCATGCAAAAGAAGTCATGCATTGTGTATTAGTACATGTAGTAGCTTAATTTGCTTAACAGAATTAGAAGATATACAAAATGCCATTTGTAATTTGTATCTGTTTAGAAGTCAATAGTGGACTCACTTGAGAGATATCATGATGTGGAGCAGCAAGTCTTCCTGTCCATGCTGCACAACAAAGTAGAGACGGATCAACACATGAAAGCCTCCCTCAGCACCCAGCAACAGCATGCCGACCTCCTGGCCTCACTCACGACACAGCTCTTTTCTCTCAATACAGGTAACACATCATCACACCAAGGTGCCACAATCGGAGGGATACTTCACCTTCCATAATTCTCCCAACATGGCACTACAGTACATAGTTCTCCCAACATGGACTCTACAGTACATGGGTCTCCCAACATGGACTCTACAGTACATGGGTCTCCCAACATGGACTCTATCGTACATAGTTCTCCCAACATGGACTCTACAGTACATAGTTCTTCCAACATGGACTCTACAGTATATAGGTCTCCCAACATGGACTCTACAGTACATAGTTCTCCCAACATGGACTCTATAGTACATAGTTCTCCCAACATGGACTCTACAGTATATAGGTCTCCCAACATGGACTCTACAGAACATAGTTCTCCCAACATGGACTCTACAGTACATGGGTCTCCCAACATGGACTCTACAGTACATGGGTCTCCCAACATGGACTCTACAGTACATAGGTCTCCCAACATGGACTCTACAGTACATAGTTCTCCCAACATGGACTCTACAGTACATAGTTCTCCCAAAATGGACTCTACAGTACATAGTTCTCCCAACATGGACTCTACAGTACATAGTTCTCCCAACATGGACTCTACAGTACATAGGTCTCCCAACATGGACTCTACAGTACATAGTTCTCCCAACATGGACTCTACAGTACATAGTTCTCCCAACATGGACTCTACAGTACATAGTTCTCCCAACATGGACTCTACAGTACATAGGTCTCCCAACATGGACTCTACAGTTCATAGTTCTCCCAACATGGACTCTACAGTACATAGTTCTCCCAACATGGACTCTACAGTACATAGTTCTCCAATGATGGACTCTACAGTACATAGGTCTCCCAACATGGACTCTACAGTACATAGTTCTCCCAACATGGACTCTACAGTACATAGGTCTCCCAACATGGACTCTACAGTACATAGGTCTCCCAACATGGACCCTACATTACATAGTTCCCCCAACATGGACCCGACAGAACATAGTACCCCCAACATGGACTCTACAGTACATGGGTCTCCCAACATGGACTCTACAGTACATAGGTCTGCCATCACTGACTCTACAGTACATAGTTCCCCCAACATGGACCCGACAGAACATAGTACCCCCAAAATGGACTCTACAGTACATGGGTCTCCCAACATGGACTCTACAGTACCTAGTTCTCCCAACATGGAGTCTACAGTACATAGTTCTCCCAACATGGACTCTACAGTACATGGGTCTCCCATGATGGACTGGACAGAACATAGTTCCCCCAACAGTACATAGGTCTCCCAACATGGCACTATAGCACATAGTTCTCCCAACAATGACTCTACAGTACATGGGTCTCCCAACATGGACTCTGCAGTACATAGTTCTCGCATGAGGGACCCGACAGAACATTGTTCCCCCAACATTGACTCTACAGTACATGGGTCTCCCAACATGGACTCTGCAGTACATAGTTCTCCCATGATGGATCCGACAGAACATAGTTCCCCCAACATGGACCCGACAAAACATAGTTCCCCCAACATGGACTCTACAGTACATGTGTCTCCCAACATGGCACTATAGTACATAGTTCTCCCAACATGGACTTTACAGTACATGGGTCTCCCAACATGGATTCTACAGTACATGAGTCCCCCAACAATGACTCTACAGTACATGGGTCTCCCAACAAGCATGGACTCTACAGTACATAGGTCTCCCAACATGGACTCTACAGTACATAGTTCTCCCAACATGGACTCTACAGTACATGGGTCTCCCAACATAGACTCTATAGTACATAGTTCTCCCAACATGGACTCTACAGTATATAGGTCTCCGAACATGGACTCTACAGTACCTAGTTCTCCCAACATGGACTCTCCAGTACATGGGTCTCCCAACATGGACTCTACAGTACATAGTTCTACCAACATGGACTCTACAGTACATAGGTCTCCCAACATGGACTCTACAGTACATAGTTCTCCCAACATGGACTCTACAGTACATAGTTCTCCCATGATGGACCCGACAGAACATAGTTCCCCCAACAGTACATAGTTCTCCCAACATGGCACTATAGTACATAGTTCTCCCAACATGGACTCTACAGAACATAGTTCTCCCAACATGGACTCTACAGTACCTAGTTCTCCCAACATGGACTCAACAGTACATAGGTCTCCCAACATGGACTCTACAGTACATAGGTCTCCCAACATGGACTCTACAGTACATAGTTCTCCCAACATGGACTCTACAGTACATAGTTCTCCCAACATGGACTCTACAGTACATAGTTCTCCCATGAGGGACCCGACAGAACATAGTTCCCCCAACATTGACTCTACTGTACGTGGGTCTTCCAACATGGTCTCCCAACATGGAATCTATAGTACATAGTTCTCCCAACATGGACTCTACAGTACTTGGGTCTCCCCAATGGACTCTACAGTACATGGGTATCCCAACATGGTCTCCCAACATGGAATCTATAGTACATAGTTCTCCCAACATGGACTCTACAGTACTTGGTTCTCCCCCATGGACTCTACAGTACATGGGTCTCCCAACATGGTCTCCCAACATGGAATCTATAGTATATAGTTCTCCCAACATCGCACTACAGTACATGGGTCTCCCAACATGGAATCTACAGTACTTGGGTCTCCCCCATGGACTCTACAGTACATGGGTATCCCAACATGGTCTCCCAACATGGAATCTATAGTACATAGTTCTCCCAACATGGACTCTACAGTACTTGGGTCTCCCCCATGGACTCTACAGTACATGGGTATCCCAACATTGTCTCCCAACATTGAATCTATAGTACATAGTTCTCCCAACATCGCACTATAGTACATGGGTCTCCCAACATAGACTCTATAGTACATAGTTCTCCCAACATGGACTCTACAGTATATAGGTCTCCCAACATGGACTCTACAGTACCTAGTTCTCCCAACATGGACTCTACAGTACATGGGTCTCCCAACATGGACTCTACAGTACCTAGTTCTCCCAACATGGACTCTACAGTACATGGGTCCATGTTGGTAGAACTATGTACTGTAGAGTCCATGTTGGGAGACCCATGTACTGGAGAGTCCATGTTGGGAGAACTAGGTACTGTAGAGTCCATGTTCGGAGACCTATATACTGTAGAGTCCATGTTGGGAGAACTATGTACTATAGAGTCTATGTTGGGAGACCCATGTACTGTAGAGTCCATGTTGGGAGAACTATGTACTGTAGAGTCCATGTTGGGAGAACTATGTACTGTAGAGTCCATGTTGGGAGACCTATGTACTGTAGAGTCCATGCATGTTGGGAGACCCATGTACTGTAGAGTCATTGTTGGGGGACACATGTACTGTAGAATCCATGTTGGGAGACCCATGTACTGTAAAGTCCATGTTGGGAGAACTATGTACTATAGTGCCATGTTGGGAGACACATGTACTGTAGAGTCCATGTTGGGGGAACTATGTTTTGTCGGGTCCATGTTGGGGGAACTATGTTCTGTCGGGTCCATCATGGGAGAACTATGTACTGCAGAGTCCATGTTGGGAGACCCATGTACTGTAGGGTCAATGTTGGGGGACTCAACAGTACATGGGTCTCCCAACATGGACTTTACAGTACATGGGTCTCCCAACATGGACTCTACAGAACATAGTTCTCCCAACATGGACTCTACAGTACATAGTTCTCCCAACATGGACTCTACAGTACATAGTTCTCCCAACATGGACTCTACAGTACATAGTTCTCCCAACATGGACTCTACAGTACATAGTTCTCCCAACATGGACTCTACAGTACATAGTTCTCCCAACATGGACTCTACAGTACATGGGTCTCCCAACATGGACTCTACAGTACCTAGTTCTCCCAACATGGACTCTACAGTACATAGTTCTCCCAACATGGACTCTACAGTACATAGTTCTACCAACATGGACTCTACAGTACATAGTTCTCCCAACATTGACTCTACAGTACATAGTTCTCCCATGAGGGACCCGACAGAACATAGTTCCCCCAACATTGACTCTACTGTACGTGGGTCTTCCAACATGGTCTCCCAACATGGAATCTATAGTACATAGTTCTCCTAACATGGACTCTACAGTACTTGGGTCTCCCCCATGGACTCTACAGTACATGGGTATCCCAACATGGTCTCCCAACATGGAATCTATAGTACATAGTTCTCCCAACATGGACTCTACAGTACTTGGGTCTCCCCCATGGACTCTACAGTAAATGGGTCTCCCAACATGGACTCTACAGTACATAGTTCTACCAACATGGACTCTACAGTACATAGGTCTCCCAACATGGACTCTACAGTACATAGTTCTCCGAACATCAACTCTACAGTACATAGTTCTCCCAACATGGACTCTACAGTATATAGTTCTCCCAACATCATCGTCACAATATGGCTGAAATACTGCCGATGTGACGTTAAATCTTAACTCACTCACTCACACTCTCCCAACATGGACTCTACAGTACATAGGTCTCCCAACATGGACTCTACAGTACATAGTTCTCCCAACATGGACTCTACAGTACATAGTTCTCCCAACATGGACTCTACAGTACATAGTTCTCCCATGATGGACCCGACAGAACATAGTTCCCCCAACAGTACATAGTTCTCCCAACATGGCACTATAGTACATAGTTCTCCCAACATGGACTTTACAGTACATGGGTCTCCCAACATGGACTCTACAGAACATAGTTCTCCCAACATGGACTCAACAGTACATAGGTCTCCCAACATGGACTCTACAGTACCTAGTTCTCCCAACATGGACTCTACAGAACATAGTTCTCCCAACATGGACTCTACAGTACATAGGTCTCCCAACATGGACTCTACAGAACATAGTTCTCCCAACATGGACTCAACAGTACATAGGTCTCCCAACATGGACTTTACAGTACATGGGTCTCCCAACATGGACTCTACAGAACATAGTTCTCCCAACATGGACT